AATAATAACCTGTTTATTAATATATAAAGCATGCAACTATATTTGAAAAATTGATCTTTTCAGAGTATATTATTTAAATTTTTATTTGATTTAATATCATTAAAATATTACTTTTTGAAAAAACCCACTTGAAGTTTTCAATAGTAGATACCTACTATAAAATTACATGAAGATTCCAGTTTCTTTTACTTTACTAATATTAAAAACTTAATCATATAAATCTTGACAAATTTATGCTGCACTATAAATTATATAAAAGTAAATGCAAAACAATAAGTTTTAGTAAAAAAAAAATTTTTTTGTTGAAAAAACCCACTTATCGTTCCAAGTGGGTTTTTTCAAGGTGGGCCCACCCAATAAAACCCGGGCGGGTTTTTTCAAAGTGGGCCCACTTGACGAACCCTGGTAGAAATCTATGAAATTTCTTTTTCACAGTGACAACAAAAAACTAAAATATCAAGCAAGTGAGTAGACATAACCAACGACATGTTAAGATACATATTTTCAAATATAATATATAAAAATTAGTTTTTCATATAGGCTAAGAAAACCTGAAACAAAGTTATAAGATGGGCAAAAATGAAAAGTTAATAGTGATCAGTTTATATAAATATGCTTGATTTTTAGTTCTTCATTTTAAAAAGAATACCAGACTGAAATATCCAGCAAGTGAGTAGTCATGAAGGACTTAAGTGTGGAAATATTTTTAAATGTAAATTCAATAGAGGATAAGATTACTAAAAATAAATTTGTAACTTTTTCTGCTTTTTTTTATATAAAATTGAATTACCAAAAGTATCTCTTTATAGAAGGAAGACCTTAACTTAATAAGAGGCTTAAAAACTTGGTGTTTGGACATGCAACTTTACTCGTAAGTTTTGATTATTTCTTTTCATTTGCGAAAGATATGCTTGTATTCATAATAAAATTAATTTCCATATGATTAGTGAGGTCATTTTAATTACAAGTTTGGTATTAAAATGCTGGTTAGTATTAAAAACGTATTAAAATACAGATTGTAAAAACAGATTTATAGGTTTTGTATTCTTACCACTTTGGTTGTCAATCACATAAAAAATTATATTTCAGCCTGCAGTCTTTTCTGCATAGAAAACCAATATTTTTTCATATGATTTTGTAGGAGAAATAAATGTGGGTGATTCTCCAAAAATTTAACATCATGTGCGAACAAAATATCACAAGATTGGATTAAAATAGAAAGTTATTTTTTATACCTTTTAAACATAATTTTTTCCATGCATTTAACAAAGATGACTCAATAATTGCCTCAAAGTCACTCTTTTGGCCTCTCCGAAACTTTCTCTTGAGCGTATTTAATTTATTTAAAAAAAATTTGCACCAACATTTCAATAATTAAAGTAGTTATGATTAATTATTTATTTTTGAAGATGTAAAATAATATTTTTTTATTCCGATTAGTTATTTAGCTCATTAATTTGTGTCATTTGAAAGTTTGTTCCAAGATAAAAACTTTCTAAAAAAAATCATATGTGTAATAAGGTACAATGTGTAATAAGGTGATGATTCTATTAGAAGAACTTCCTTAAGGCTAAATCTGCCTTTAGAATTTAATAACAGGACTTACATCTAAAAAATGCCACACTTCTGACATTTTATGAGCTAAAAGATTGATTTAACAGTGAGTATTTTTAAAGTGAGTTCCCTTTATTTTTCTTGTATTAAGTGCCTTATAAATAGTAAGTCTGAATATTTCTAGATTTTTTAAAGCATTTTTAATTTTGGAAAATTTGTGGTGTAGTAAATGGTGACTGATGCATGTTAAATCTGTCGAGTCGCAAAGTCCTCCATTTTCCTATAACAAATCATACCTCTGGGGGTACTGATCCAGGAGTTTCCTTGTCTTCTGGATCGGTTCAAAATTACAAGGCTACGGAGTAGAACATTAGTAGTCGTAAACCCGAAATTGGGGTGACTGTTCAACAACAGTTATAAAATAATGTAAAATAAAGTGTGTTAATCTAGAGGTCCACCCACAAATTGTATAATAATGGTTGAAGTATATATTTTTCCCATTTAGCCGATTCAAACATTTTAGGACTCTTAAGTAATATTAAATAAAAGTTAATTCTCATGTAGGGAAATTTTATAAAGGTAAACTGGGGATCATATACTTATTTTAAAGATGAAGATAAAAATGTAATGTGTTAAAAAATGTAATCAAATCTTCTATGATTTCATATCTTCTATATTAATCACTGAATCCATTTATGAAAAAAATATTCTGTAATTTATTTTATTCTTTATTTAATAAAATAATTCCTTTTAATACTGATTATTTTTAATTAATGTTGCTTGATCTGTACATTTGAAAACATGTTTTTTATGTTACTATTTTGAGTTAATCTTTTTTATATTTTTTCATCACTGTTGCATGTCTAATTAATAAGCTCAATGTGAAAAACGAATTTTAATGAGCGGAGTATTTTAATTTTATTTCAGATCTGGTGTTATGGTGTTAACTGCTGCTCACAGATCATTGGGATTTTCTTCCACAAGCATACATTATGCTTTTGGTATGCCTTAAATTTTCATAAAATCAATCGACTAGTCCATATTTTTATTAAAAATAATGTGTTTTTTAACCCCAATACTTGGAGATTGGCATGCTCTTCTTGATTTTTTACCCCACTAATTATGATATTTTTTTAATTTATTACTTCTTAGTCTGTTTTTATTGAAGGTTTAGCAAGCTTGTCTTAACTTACTTTCCATTCATTCATTATTATTATTTTGAGTCTACTAATATCTTAGCCTGCTTTTATTGATGATTATGATTAACAATCTTACCTTAACTTATTTTTCTGGTAATCATTATTTTTTGAGGTAGCAAGTTACTTTGTTTTTATTGATACTTAACAATCTTTTGTTAATTTGTTTTACTACTTTTTTTTTAGTCATTTTTGTATTACATAGCCTACTTTTGATGATTATTAGCAAGCTTGCCATAATTTATTTCCTGTTAATAATTGTTTTCTTCTTTTTAGTCTAATTATTACTTAGCTTCTTTGCTCATTTTTTATTTAGTTTATAATAGGAATATTTACTTTTAACACATTCGCCAATGACAAGTTAACTCTCATTGACCAATGACAAGTTAACTCGTCGTTGCACTTGCACTATCTGTTTCTATTTATGGAACTCGGGGGCATTATGGAATACTACAGTTGTACACATTGTTTACTTGACTTACATTTTTAATAACAAAATAATAACCAGTGACTTGAGATTTTCTGTGTAAAATTGCCAGTCTACAAAATGTTAATTAAAATGAGTATGTTTAAAATTGCTCTTAATTATTATTTAAACATATAAGCTCAATTTAACATTCTTTGGTACATAAAAGTTTCAAGTACTTTTGTATAGAAGAGATGCTTTTAACATTGCAATGGTTTAATTGGAGATAAGTTTATTGATATTTTATTATGAAATGCATATTTTTTTGATCAGTATTTTTTTTTTTTTTTTTTTTTTTTTTTTTTTTTTTTTTTTTTTTTTTTTTTTTTTTTTTTTTTTTTTTTNAGTTAATAGTTAAAATAACTATACAGTTACAATTTGTTTAAATATGCATGATTTTCAGATCTTAATTTTAAAAAGAGTACCAGACTGAAATATCCAGCAGGTGAGCAGTCATGAAGGTCTTAAGTGTGAAAAAAAAAATTTAAATATGCAAAAGAGGATAATATTACTAAAATAAATTTTTAACTTTTTTCTGCCATTTTTTTATATGTAAATAAAATTGAATTACCAAAAGTATCTCTTTATAGAAGGAAGACCTTAACTTAATAAGAGGCTTAAAAACTTGGTGTTTGGACATGCAACTTTACTCGTAAGTTTTGATTATTTCTTTTCATGTGCAAAAGATATGCTTGTATTCATAATAAAATTAATTTCTATATGATTAGTCAGGTCGTTTTAATCACAAGTTTGGTATTGAAATACAGGTTATTATTAAAAACTTACTGAAATACAGATTGTAAAAACAGATGTATAAGTTTTGTATTCTGAACATTTTGGTTGTCACGCACATAAAAAAAAATTACATTTCAACCTGCTATCTTCTCCACAAAGCAAAACCAATTTTTTTCATGTGATTATGTAGGAAAAATAAGTGTGGGTGATTCTCCAAAAATGTAACAATATCATGTCGGAACAAAATATCACAAGATTGGATGGAGATAGGAAGTTATTTTTTATACCTTTAAAACATAATTTTTTCCATGCATTTAAGTAAGATAATTCAATAATAATCTCCTGAAAAAATATTGCGCCTGAAAGTCACTCTTTTGACTTCTCCAAAATTTTCTCTTAGACATATTTAATTTATTTAAAAAATTTTGCACCACGTTTCAATAAGTAAAGTTGTTATAATTAATTATTTATATTTGTAGGTGTAAAACAATATTTTTTGATTCCGATTAGTTATTTAACTCACTAAGGTGTGTCATTTGAAAGTTTGTCTCAATATTTTTTCACAACATTCTTCTAGCCGTGCAAATAAGTGCTTTGAAGATCTGATGTTCTTATCATAGATTTGAAGTTCTAAACTGAAGTGTGTAATATTTTCTGCTGTCATTCTCTTATACAACAGTTTTATTAAACATAAAAACTTTTTAAAAAAAATAATAATTCATATTATAATGTGTAATAAGGTGATGATTCTATTAGAAGAACTTCCTTAAGGCTAAATCTGCCTTTAGAATTTAATAGCAGGATGATTAATAAAAATGTCTCACTTCTGACATTTTTTGAGCAAAAAGATTGACTTAACAGAGAGTATTGTTATAGTGAGTTTTCTTTATTTTTCTTGTATTAAGTGCCTTATAAATGGTAAGTCAGAATAGTTTTAGATTTTTTAAAGTCTTTTTAATTTTTGAGAATTTGTGGTTTGAAAACGCCAAGTTTGTGGAGAATCACCCGTATAAGAAAAAAAACAAACCTCTGAAATTAATGTGTTCTTGAAATAACCAGAGGGTTGAAAAAGGTATGCCATTTTCTGTGGATTCAAAAAATTCTGGTCTTTTAGTCCATCAAAAAATTTGATTAACAATTTTAAAGTAGCGAAAAATTTGATGCGTTAATCTAGAGGTCTACCTGCAAATTGTACAACAATGATTGAAGTATATATTTTACTCAGTTAGTTGATTCCAAAATTATAGGACTCTTATGTAATGTTAAGAAAAAGTTAATATTCATGTAGTGAAATTTTATAAGAGTGAACTGGTATATTTACGAAAAAATATTCTTTAATTAAGTTTATGCTTTATTTAATAAAATAATACCCTTTAATACTGAGTTTTATTTTTAATTAATGTTGCTTGATTTGTAATTTAGAAAACATTTTTTTTTTTATGTTACCATTTAGAGTTAGTCTTTTTTTTTTCATAACTGTTGCATGTCTTATTAATGTCCTCAATGTGAAAAATGTTTTGAATTTTATTTCAGGTCTGGTGTCATGGTGTTAACTGCTGCTCACAGATCATTGGGTTTTTCTTCCACAAGCATTCATTATGCTTTTGGTACGCCTTAAATTTTCATGTTTTTATTGAAAATGTGTTTTGTATTTTTTACCCCATTGCTTAGAGATTTTCACGCTTTTCCTGATTTTTTTTTCGTTAATTATTTTGTTTATTAATCTACTACTTCTTAGTATGTTTTTATTGAAGGTTTACCCAGCTTGTTTTTCATTAATTATTATTGTTTTGAGTCAACTAATATTTTAGCCTGATTTTATTAATGATGTTGATTAACAAACTTAATTTATTTTTCAAGTAATTATTTGTGACAACTAATTACTTTATTTCTATTGATAGTTAGCAATCTTGTCTTAATTTGTTTTACCATTTATTATTATTTTTTTTAGTCATTTTTGTACTGCATAGCCTGCGTTTGATGATGATTATTAGCAAACCTGCCATAATTTATTTTCTGTTAATATATTTTTTTCTTTAAACTAATAATTACTTAGTCTTTTTTTTTTTTTTTTTGATTTATTTATATTTCAAATTTAGTGACATTAACTATACAGCATTTTGCTTGTTTTTTAATGGGAATATTTACTTTTAATACATCATTGACCAATTGCAAGTTAACTCTATTTTTCATTGATAAGTTACCTTGTCATTTCACTTGCATTATCTCTTTCAATTTATGGAACTCGGGGTGTTATAGAATATTACAATATGACGCTCTTTAAATATATATTTTTTATTTTATAACTATTGATGAACAGCTGACCAAATTTTTGGGTTTACTGTTACTGATGTTCAACTCCGTTGCCTTGTAATTTTGAACTCAAACCAGAAGACAAGGAAACTCCTGAATCAAGTATTGGGATAAATGGGCCATTATGTGTGGGACTTTTTGATGGAACTAACCCACATTTCTGTTACACAAAGAAGAAAACCTCTCATGGTTAGCCTAACGGCAAAGAAACTCTAACCCATAATCCATCTACCACTGAATACATTTCACATCAGCACTGTGGTCAGTGCACGATAGATGCAGATTCGTATGGACCAGCCATCTCTGAGGTTCTAACCCAGTTTACTGCATTAGAAGGAGATCGCTCTGTCCCCTGAGCCATCACGGCTGAAATGTTTATTGTTTACATAAAATAGTCCCATGAAAAACAATCAGTTAAAGTTCTACTGTATTTTTAAAAATCCATTTCTTTTAACAAAATCCTTGGCACTATTTTTATATCTTGATGCATTTTCTATTTCCTATGATGCTCTGAGTTATCAAAGTTTCAATGTATATGGACTACAATCCACTGTATGTGGATCATGCAATGGATCAATTTCTTATGTATTGATTGCTTATGCTTTAATTTCTATTTTAAAAAAATGAACATTCCTTTTTAGGTGTTTTGGATACTTCGACTGATACACCTCCTCAAAGTTTTGGTTCTTTCCTTGTTACTAAATATGTGCAGCCATATCAAGTACGTTAAATGATTTTTTTAAACTTTTATAGTAGTTCTATGTAGTTAGTATTGTTTAATAAGTAAAAGATGGATTTTACACAGGCTCTAATTAAAATTCTCACATGGCAAAAATTTTCCAAACATTTAATAATCTGGAAATTAAGCATGCTGAAATCAGGGTTGTTTAAACTCACCTAAAATAACAGGTAAAATGCAGGGAAATTTGAGTTTTTCTCTACAAACTGGAAAAATACAGGGAAACTTATTTCTTATTTACCTTTTTTAAAAAAGGGTGACACACTCAAAGCACAATTTATGGGATATTTAAAGATATTTCAGCTACACTAAACTATTTCATTTGCTAAGGCATTATTTGTTTTAAGTATGTTCAGTGGCAATCCTGAGAATAGAATTGTACTATTCCTTCTATTCAGCATATTGTCAAACTTTTAATTAAAAATTGATATTTGTTTATTTTATGCATGTGTCTTTTTTATAATTTCTGAAATAAGATTTCAATAGTTTTAAGTAATAAATTTATTTATTTTCACTAAGAGTTACCAACTACGTGCATATAATTCTTCTTCAAACTTGCAATTTTCCTCTTTCTATCATTTTCTTTTTTATTTAATTTTCATTTTCTGAATTTTTATTATATTTCCTGAACATATTAAAACCTAAACATGTCGTTGAAAATTTTCTTTACAACATATTTTAGAAATGCATTTTTTACAACATAGTTTAGTGTATAAAAATAGATAAAATCAAAATTTTAAGTTTGTGGATTGATATCTGGCAATTTAAATTTTTCAAAGTGATTTATTGAAAGATCATTCTACGATTAATGTTTGTAAATGTTATATATGTTTGAGTTTTATAGCATGAAAAGGGTTATAACATGAAAAGGTTTATTACATGAAGAGGTTTATAACGGCCATTGAGGTTATTTTAGTTATATCTTTGAGATTTCTATGTCCATTTTTGTTTTCTAAGTAATTTAATGTTGGTAACATTCCATTATTCCTAGATAAAATGAAAAAATTTTAAATTTTTTTTTGTTGCTTTTTTAAGCTTGCTACACTTTTGTTATTAACGCTAAAAAAATTTTCATTTAAAGTATAGTTTTTTTTCTTCCTCATTGTAATTTAAACCATTTATTCAAAATAGTGTAAAACTATTGGAAGACTCTAATTTATAAAAATTTTGGTCTGTTACTTCTTTTAGAAGACTTTATTAAGAAGAATATGCATTTTATTAATTCCTAACTGAGTAATTTCTGAGTAATATAGTTTAACAGCAGAAATGCATACATAAACTTTCAAAAATTTTCATGTTTTTTAGAGCTTTTTTTTTATTTAAAAAAAAATAATAAAAAAGAATTTTGCAAATTGTTTAAAATCTTTTTTCATACTTTTGAGAATATGTATGAAAAAGGCATAGTTATTAAATTTAAAGATATATTATAATTTTGTTTTTTTTCAATCATATTAATTATTTGATGCTTTAAGCAATAAAATGTAAGTCTTACATTATGATAATGTTTAAATCCTAGTAAGTTAATAAATTTGAAATGTTTAGGAGGTGATGGAAGAGCAATTGCTAAATTACAAGTTCATCTTACCGACACCTGACAGTCTAACTGCCTATGTGTTCAATGCTGAAAAAGTTTTGTCTGTCGAAAGTAAGTCATAAAAAATTTCATTTTTGTTCTTCAATTTCATAGCTGTATCTAGTTTATGTCTGTGTACATATATGTATACATAGGTAACTTGTAGCACTATCTTCATAAATCCAAAATCTGCAACCCCAAAAGAGTCAGACAGAGATTATTATTGTCAGATTAATCAAACATTCGTGTATCAAAATTTGAAAATATAATGTCCTGAAATTTGTATTTATATAAAAATTTATGTTTAAATTTAAGATTAATTTATGCAATGGTACAGAAAAAATGGAATACATCCCTTTTTTTTAGGTCTCTGTAAACAAGTTGCAGAAAAAAAAATTCTTTAATTTTTGCTCTTTACCATATTTTTTCAATTCAGGATTTTTAATTTGTTCGATGAATACATCAATTTTAAATATTTTTTTATTACATTAAAGTCATCTTTTTTTCTCTCTCAACCTGTTGCATCTAATAAACCTTTATTATATGGAATTGTTTTAATAAATGCAATGATTTGTCTATTAATTCCAGTATTTTTGTTCAAAATATTTATATTTGTTCACCAATTTATTTTTGTTCAAATATTTACTTTGTTATTTTTGTTCACCACATTGACTAAAAGTATTGAAAAGTTGTTCTTTTTTTTTCACATTTCAAGGAAAAATTTAGATATAAAACCAATTTTTGTTCTGTTGCAAACATAAAAATTGCTTTAAAATCTTATTTCTCTTCTTATCTTTAATTATAGATTTCAGCTTGTGGTGATAATTTTCTTTCCTTATTTAATTAGTTGGTGCAAGTGAGAGTGAAATTAATGAAACCGATCTTTCAGTTGGTGGAAACGGAATTTTGGGATCTGGTATGTATTTTGGATTTGGTAATTTCTGTGTATCAATATTAACCCATAATTTGTGCATTTTATAAAATAATTATTCTTATTTTGATGTTTATACCCATTCCATAATTAATCGATTCTGTGAAACGTTTCTCTAAGTGTACTATACTATCTCTCATTATATAAATTTAGAGTTTCTTTATATTTTATAAATTAGTGTGCTTAAGGTATTTTTAAAATATGTTTTTTATTAAAACTGTGAAACAAATAGTTTTTATCTGTCAAGGCAGTTTTTGTAATGTCAAAACCGTTACTTGCAAGAAAATATAGATTTACACAGAAACAGCAGGCAGCTTAAATATTACAATCATAACTGTTTTGTTAGATACACCCATCTAAAGCTGTTAATAACTTAAAATGTTTCATTACTTGTATTGTTGTGAAACGTGTTAAGTTGATCCCTTTTATGAGTGAGTTACATTTGTATGAAGCGGAAAATCCCGTATCCGATATTTTTGAGACTTCGTCAAGTTCGGATAATAGGTCTTTAAGAAAACATAAAAATATCTTCTTTCAATAAAAAATAACAATCGAAGATAATTAGCGTCAATTTCAATCAATGACGAATAAATGCACGTGGAAGCGCTATTTTCGCAGCTTTTGTTACAAGTTTCCACGTGTTTTTTAAAATCTCCATATTTTAATACGCCATTATAACATACCACAAATTCTAAATCACGCATTTCTGTTATTACTAATTCAATTCTCAATCCACTAGATTAGCGACTATTCCACAATCAATCCGCTTGGTTTTGCCAGTCGTTTTTTGAGTAGTTTTTAAAAATGGATTTTTACTTAGTTTTTAAAATTTCAATGTTTTATTATATTACAGTCGAACTTGTTTATAACGAGGACAAAGGGACCGTAACATGTACTCATTAAATCCGAGTGCTCGTAATAAACGGGTCCTTAAGACAAGCGTGCAACCAGAAGAGGGGGAGGGGGGCTTGGGAGGTCAAATGATTTGTTTACTTAAAATTTAATTAATACTTACTTACTTTAATTACATTAATTAATTTAGTTAAATACTTTTCTTAATTTAATGACAACTAAACCCCCTTCCCTCGCATTTCTTTATCATTTTGAAAAAAAGATAAGACAGAAAGATGAGAAAGAAGATTGCAAGACAGAAAAATATTGCTCGCTGAAACCGGGTCTTACTTGTTAAAAGCGACTTCTGTTCCATAGACTTAACATTGATCCAACCAAAAATTCTCATTTCCCTCGGTAAATCCGAGTTCTCGTCAAATCCGAGCTCGTTATAAACGAGTTTGACTGTATTTCGTTTGGCAAACTTTGAATCTTGTATTTTGCGCTTAATTATTGATGATTTACCTGCAGTCTGGCGTGGATTTACGATTTGTCAGTTATTACTACCGATTTTCATAGTTGTTTAATGCTACATTATCGTACACGGGGAATTTCAAATCTCGAATTTTTTTTCTGATTACTTTTTTATACACTCGATTTGTGACGATTTTATTGTTCACGTTTTTAAAAATTTTGATTTAATTTTTTAAAAATAGTATTATGATATGTGAATTCCGAATCATGCTTTTGAAGAATCACTTAATGACTGGCTTTAAGCGGTACAATTTTGGTGGTAATAATCATTTTATGCATCGACGTGAGAGAAAAATGCAAAATTTTTTCTTGTGCTGTAGCAAATTGTTGGATTTTGTTTCTGTGATCTCCATTTTTTTTTCATATTGTAGCGGAAATCGTATTAAAATCAAAAAAAAATTCGGAAGTCTAGGAAAAAAATTATGCAGTAGTGCGCGAATTAGTGGAGGAATCTGATCCCTGCATACTTTTTTAAAAATCACAAGGATAAAAACGATTTTTTTTTTCTTTGAAAAGGAAAAAGAGCTTTGTTTATTTTGATTGTTAAAAAGTGTCCAGAAAATAGACCCTTCTATTAAATGGACGTCCGGATATGGGACTTTATTGTATTTACTCCTACAGAGATGATTGTGCCCCAAAAAAAAATCTGGATTTTTCGCAAACCATGAATCGGAAGTTTCCGAAATCCAAAGTCTAGAAGTTTCAAGAAATCATCGATCACATTTATGTATAAAAATTCTTGTATATATTAGAATATTAATAGCTCTAATATTTTAAAATATTAGCGCTAGAATTTATACTTGGCATCTCTTTTATTTGCTAATATTTTTTCCGGCAGAATAATAAATGTGATTACAGATAAAAGTGAACTTGAAAATAATTATTCATTTCAACACTGATGCACATAATTTATTTAGAATTTCAAGTTTTGAAAATATGAATGATTTAAATTTATGAAGACATTAATTTTTTGAAATGCGTCATTAATGATATTACTCAAGACATTTTCAGGTTTTTTGAGTTTTGCCCACAATCACCCTTTCTTCTATAATCATGTGCCAAATAAGCTAAAATATTTGTGAGTCCTTTACATCCTTAGATTGACTTTTATAATCAAGTAATAAATAGAGGTAAAATATTTATAAGTCATTTGCATCTTTAGATGGACTCTTATAATCAAGCATCAAATGAGTTAATATTTGACAGTTATATCCTAAGATTGAGTTTTATAATTGAGTACCAAATGAGCAGAAATATTTGACCTGCTTTCTTATGAGATGACCATCAACTACAATTGATCACAAAGTGATCAACTCCCTCAAATTTCACTGTATTATGTAGATAAAATAAAGAAATTAAGACTATAAAAAATTATGTAATTTTTTTTTTTTTTAATAAAAAATCCAATTTAAGCCGTAACTAAGCTAATTCTGCATTTGTTTCTTTTAAACCGATGTAAAATTTAGCTTCATAAATATTTGGAATTTATTCCTCTCTTCAAAGTTTATATTTTTCCTCTAACAATTCATGTCTTTACCATAACTTAAATATTAGCACTAAAGCAGAATAAATATTTAGTTATTCGAAACACAAGAAGATTAAAAAAAAAAAAAAAACATTTCCCCTCATAACAAAAAAAAAATTTAGAATTTATTACAATTTTGGAATACTTGTATGAACTTGTTGCAATTTTGGAATACTTGTATGAACTGATTGCAATTTTGGAGTACTTGTATAAACTGATTGCAATTTTGGAATACTTGTATAAACTGATTGCAATTTTGGAATACTTGTATAAACTGATTGCATTGAACATTAAAATCTAAATTTCTGACTTTCTAGGAACATGTGATGGCTTGCCTCTGTTTTTTGCTAAAGATTTGGGAATCATTTGCTTTCAACCTAATCAAAAAGCTTTCAGTGATTCAAGGTGTGTGAAACATATCATTCTCTTAACAGTGTTATAGGATAATTAAGAGTTCTAGCACATAAAATGATGAACATTATTAAAATTAAGTATTTTGAGCATCGATGTTTATTAAAATTCTAATTAATTAACTATCAAAATTTGATGTTTTTTAAATTATATATTTATGTATGAATTTTCTAACTTCTATTATAGAATGTAGAACTGCATCAATTTCAACGTTTTTAGACTCAGGAGAGTTATTTTAAAAAATTTATGTATAAAAAAATTTTGTTTTAAAAAAAAAAAGAACGCACTTTAAAGTGTCAGATTAAAGAGTGGGGATTTTGTATTAATCTTTAATATTTGCTATTCTTAACAAAAGTATTTTTTAAATGGTTGCCTAAATTTAATGCTATGTAAACAGAAAATATAAATATTTATATAGACATAAAATTTCTCTGAGGAAACTATCGTAAGTTGTGGCAAACCATGATTATTTCTTGTTCTCATAAAAAAAAATCCTCTTGTATGTTCACATTTTTTTTTTTAATACTTAGGGTTATTGTATGTTTCTAATTTTTCATTTATATAAAATTCATTATTTATACATGTAAATACAAAGTTTTGGATTTTTGACAGGCTTATGCAGTCTATGAAAGATGTAAGCATCCGTCAGTCAGATGTAAGTATTGAACCTAAATTTCCAACATTTAAAAGGCCTTTCACCTTCCGACTGAACTCAATTGTCGATAGTTGGAGGCAGGGATAGAAAATTATAAATATAATTACATTCCTTTTATTTAATTTTACAAATAAGCTTGTGGTGCACAATTACTCTATTCAGCTGTATCTTTTGATGCATGTAAAATGCAAGGCCATTACTCAATCAGAATTTGAGATAGAAAGTGTGCTGTAGTTTAGATTCTCTATTAAATTAATTTTTCTGACTATTAAATTTTTCTGATAAAATTATTCTACTACAGTTCTCCAATCAGCAAATTTTGAGAGGTGGTTAAATAGTTAACAGTTGTCTGATTTCAGATTTTTGACAATTATAATTGTTTTTGTGTAATTAATATTCAAATAATTTTTAAGCATTATTGAATTTAGTTTTTATCAGTTTAATTTGTAACAAAATTAAACTTTAAAAAAATTTAAAACCCACTGATGTCCAGTTTTAAATTACCGACCCAAAGCTACAAATCACGTAAATTTATTGATTTAAAAATTTGTGGAAAAATCCATTGAAGTTCTAAAAATTATCAAGAACTATTTTTTCTAATCTAATAAAAGCAACCCCTTTATTTTCCTCAAGTTTCAAAAGATATTGTGTTGTTGAATAATACTATATCATCAAAAAAAGAAGAAAAGTATCAAGATAACGCAATTTAAAAATTTAACCTAAATTCATGATTTTGAGGGTAGAAGCTTCTGAAGACAAATATAAGAATGACCACCACTTTATTGTTGTTTTACTTTGAATATATGGACTGATTGTAAAGACACGGTTCGCAGTAGGACACCGAAGTCAAGCATAAGTGGCTGCTGTCAGTAAGCGGGTGCGTGATCAGCCTGCGTAGGGACTGAGGGTGCGCGATATTGATCCTCGTTAAACTCTTCTACCGTAAAGTGCTCAACTTCATGCTTAAGTCGTCAGGCTAGCAAAGCAGGGGAGCCATCCCCTCTGCAGAAGATCAAAATTGCAATGGCATGTCTTCGGACCATCCTCAGGGATGTTTCTCAGACCCTCGCCAATAGCCTATTGTGCAGCTCTATTGCAGCGTAACTAAAGTACCTACCTTCCTAATTTGAATGTAGTAAAAAAATAAGATGGAAATTGTTTGTCTTTTAAAACAACTTTGTTTATATTTGCATAATTTTTTCTTTTTTATTGAAGTTAAACATATAAACAATAAAAAGTTGAAAAAATTTATTAACACGCAACTTCAGTTTCTGTAAAAGTTGTTGTTTCAATCGCTTCTTTGAGATATTTAAAGAAGATTACTGTTATGTTACACAATTCTTCCTTCACCCACTCTCAGTCTACTCAAATTTTCAACCTGCATTCTTCTCCACTTGGTGAAAAACCCCGAATTGCATGTGGCCTTCACGTGAGACATAATTGCATAATTTGCCAACTCTACTGGATTTACTAGTAGACTGTAAGATTTTTCCTGATTTAATTAAAATTCGCCTGGTTTTTGTACATTTTAAAAAATTCCCTAAAATTGATTAATTTTCCTAAAAAAATCCCTAAGTAGAATTTTTGTACAGATAATTGCTGCTTGAATATTTAAATAAAGTATTACTAATGCATAATAAGACAAACCTCATTTATAGCAATCAGTTCAAAACATTTTTTTGTTATAAAATGTTCAACTTATTTTTATTCGGAACTCTTTTTTTTTAAATAATTAAAAAAATCTTTCAACTATCTTTGATGAATTAAATGATGCCTTTTAATATTTGAGATTATGAGTATACATAATGCATAACTTTTCAAGTATGTTTAATGTCAATCAAAACTGGAGAATATTGCAATTATTCTATTTTGATGACTATAAAAATCCCTTAAATTCCCTATGTGTAAAATATTTAGTACATTATGCAACAGTTATCATGAAATTTATATTATTTCGTAAAATCTAATGGATTTTTCCCATCAATGTTGGCAGCTATGTAATTATATTTTTGCAATAATTTTTTTTTTTTTTCAAAAAATGTTAGCTTGCTTTTTGATTGTTAGTAACTGTTTCTGATTTTTTATTCTAGCCTAGCGAAGCACCCGAAAGCCTTTCAGCTCAATTGAGAACAGCCATTGGTTCTTATTGTAATGGTGACATGGTAAATATTATAGATTGTGAATTTGAATTTATTTGTGTTTCATCTTTTAAAAGAAACATCATTTTGAATTTATTTATATACCGTAATTTTGAGGAGAAACGCTGCCCTGGTATGTTCGCTGCGCTTTCAAAAATCAGCTACAAAAGGGCTTTTCATTCGATATGCTGCACCATCAGACAGGCTGCATAGAATTTTACTATACTAGCGCAGGTATTAATTACAGACTTAACGCGTGCTCTAAATACGCATAAATACATAATTTAAATAAAAACCAATCGAAGGATATTGAATATACAAAAAAATAGGAAAAATCCGAGTATATAAAATAGATTTTATTAATATAATTGTTATAAATGAAACAATCTTACTTTTAAATCAGCAATCCAAAATCTTGTTTTAGTAATAAACGATAAATCTAAACAAATTTTGTTCCAAAAAAAACTAAAGAATAATTTATTTAGATATCACTATATAAATATATATATATCTTGCATTTAAAATCCTTCAAAATTGGAACTCTCCATATGAGAGCAAAATGGGTTTATTAGTTCATTGTTTATTTCGGGTTTATCCCCATCACTCACACTTTCAGCATCACTTCCGCTTTTTTTAAGCCATTTATCAGTTTCTTTTTCTCTTTTAATTGCTGACAGCTTAAATGCAGCTGTATGACTTTCCCTTTTAATGGGAGGCATTTAATAATTTAAATAAAGCAAAAGAAATATTAATGAAAGAAAAATATTAATTAAACAAAAACGCAACAGAAGATCGGAATTGAAGATTAAACGATAAAAAATATAAGCTGATTAGAATTCCTTAAGCATTTTGATTTCAAATAAAGAGAACAGAAAAAAAATTGAAATTAAAAGAATTTTAAGTTTTTTTCTCTATAGAGTACACAAGAAGTTGGACAATTTTGCATTTTAGTACTGAATATCTTTGTAGATATGAACTGTTTTTTCTGTTATAATTTCTCTTTATCACTTTTTTTTAATGTGTTTCTCTGAACTATTTTTTTTTTCATGATTTCTGTAGATATGAACTTTTTATAATACAGTAGGGAACCGGAAACGATCGGGGTCATCACTATTCCGGATAACTGATTTTTCCAGTTTTCTGAATCGCTACAAAAAGCCGTTTTTTTATTGTTAAACCCAACTAAAAAGAAATAATTTTCGGAAATAATCTTAAAAAGAAGAAAAAACGATGAAGTACTATGAAAACTAATGATTATTTCCAAAATGATGGTAAGATAAATATCTTTCAAAATAGAAAGAAAAATCCTAAAATCTTATGAGGAAAAAAACTTTTTTTTCAAAAAATGGCGGGAAAATTTATTGAATTTCGTTCCGGTTTTTTGGTTTTCCGGTTTTCTGATTTCCGGATAATGGGTTCTGTACTGTAGTTCTAATAGAACAATATTTAACGAATAATATTGACTTCAGATGTTGGTTTATATAAAATTTCCATAATGCATTTTGTGAAGGGAACTGTTTGGACAAAATGCTGTGAAATGGCTCCATATTTAAATGTAAACAAATTGTTAAATTGCAAAGCAGAAATAAATTTAAAAATATATTGATGTATAATTAATTGTCTGGAATTATTTTCTTTTGCTTAGTAAAAATCTATTAAACAATGCTTGTTCAAGGGTTTTTAGATCACTCTGCATTTGCCTTTTGGCACACTTTGAGTAAAAAAAAAACTTAAAATAGCAAATTAAATATTATAGAATATTGACACTTTTCTTGAGGGTTAAGTAACCATCCTACTTTTTGTGAGAAAAGGAGAAAACAGGGATGTGATTCTTCCGCGGATCCGCTGATTTCCGCTTTTTTCAGATTTTTCCATATCTTCCGCTCTTTTTCCATAAATTTCCGCGCGGAAAAATTTTTTATGCAGTAAATGATATTTTGTTGAAAATTTTTTTCTTTCGCGGAGCAAAAGTATTGGAACCCCCCATAAACCTTTCTTCACATGTCAATCTGCTGGCTGGGGTGGTTGACCTTGGTAAAACAATGCCGTCATCTACTACACTACTCTCTTATCTTTTCAGGGATGAAAGACTTTTTCCGACCATAAAACTTTTGGGGAGTCGGACTTGCGACGAACTCCCCCTTGCAGTAGCCTCCTGAAAAAATTATCTTCAGAAGAAAATGGGTAGAATTTCGGCATGTACGCCGTAGCCATGACAACCGCGACTTGCGCTATAGATTGGAAAAAAGAAAAAAAGTCCTAAGCAGTTTCGTTTCGGCCGCTGATATTTGATTTCTTTTGATTGGCTNGATTATAAATGATGACATTTTAAAGTTCAAATCTAAAGGTGCAGATCTTGATGAAGCTGTTATTTCACTTAGTTTGGGAATTATTGATGACTACCCTGTATCCGATCCAAGGTGGTGTGAATCAATTCCTTCCAGTAAGTACCACCATTTCTTTTATTTACCATTATATGTGTTATAAATATTTTTTGCTTTAAGCCTAAACGTTCAAAGGGTTGTTTGTGAATAAACAGCCCTTTGAAATCTGTAGAATTATTCTAGTGCAAAACAGAACAAAAAGTAGAAGGATTTGCCAGTACAAATTGTAGAAGAGTGCATAATACACAGAACTGGAGTCAGAATTTTCTTAAATTTCCCACATTTTTAACTTTTGTTCTAGTTTTGTTCTCATTTAGGACACAAAAATAATAATTCAGGCGTTTCGATTTTCTCGAATGTGTGGAAATTGAACTAGGGGCCATCCTAAAAATAAAAAAAATATTTATGTTCGATAACATGTTTTCTATTGATATTTGAGGCAGCTGCAATGATGTGCTCATGCAGTGTTGTATGCATTGGGGTATCTGAACTTCGTTTTTGACATTATCTACTGCTACTGTGTCAAAAATAACAGATGTTAAATATGCTTCCATTGTTGAATCTCTTCAGAAACAAATGTATGCAGTAGCTATTAATAGCAGCAACAATATGCAGATGCGCAACTTTATGACATACTTGTATCTGGCTTCAACAAGCAAGCCCTCAAAGTCAAGGTATTGCTGCTTGCTGCTCTGAATTTAGATGCACAATCTGCCTATTAGTGGATATTATTTTATAATTTATTATTTTATAATAAAATAGTCGGTCGAGGTTTAAAAAAGGGTTTTCTGTTATTGTTTTCAAAATGAAATTTTTTTCAAAAATATATACAAATTTGACTCGTGTATTTTCAAAGGTTTCATAAATTTGGTAACAGATAGTTCTTAATTTTGTATAAAAATATCCTTTAATAGCACTTTCTGTATAACACTATGTCAAGTAAAACACTAGCTCAGAATCATTTAGTCATGCAGATTGCAATGTTGGCAGGTATGAAATTATAACAAAGAGAAGTTCATTTCTATGCTTACTACTTTTTGGTTACAACAATATCAGTTTCTTAAAAATATTACTTAATAGGAAAAATTAACTATGGCCTTCTAACCGAAATACAATGAAGTATCTGTCATTTTGTTTGTGTTAACTTATGTATTAATTTTTGCACTAGTTAATTTTAATATATTCTTAATTATTCTTGTGAACTAATTTTGTCTAATTTTAATGTATTCTTGTGAACTCATGAATATTGTATTCATAATTTCAGGCTCAGTTTCTTCCTCTTTAATCATAATGTATCAGCTTGATGATAAGCTCAAAGCTCATGGGTGTCTGCTTAATTTCCTCAACACATTCCATCTGCTCGACAAGGTACCTATCAATTTCCACCAGATTTTGTGAGACCTTTCAAATATTCTTTTTCTATGACACCCATATGAAAATTTGTCACTTAAGACCCCAAGTTTTTGCCTAGATTATCTATATTATATAAAACGCTAATACGTACGTATGTATGTATCAATAAAACCGATGATATTTCTTTTCTCGCGCTGGCAACAGTTTTCATTTTTAATTGATTGGATTCGGCGCGCAAGAGCACGTAGTGAGCAACCAGATAACAATAACCAGAGTGAGCATTATCAGGTTGTTCAATTCAGATTCATGCACTAAAAACATGACAATATTTAATTTAAACTCAATTAGGAATTAATTAATTAANGTTTTTATTTTTAAAAGATAAAATATAGTTACTTACTTCAAGAGAAAAAAATTCCAAATAAGAAGAAAATATGACTGATTTTTTTTTTCTCTTATCAAAAAAATTTCTTTAAAAATAAAAATTGGTCGAATTAAGTGCCGAATTACTACATATTTATATTTTATAAATATTTTTTTTAATTTTATTTATTTATTTTTTGGAAATTACCTCTTTTATTTAAATAAGAAGATATCAGTTTATAAATCGCGTCCATAACAACGATGCATCGGCAAAAATTAAATATACTAAATTAATGCTTTACAAATATTACTAAAATTAAAATGTAAATTAAAGTATAACAAAGTGAGAAAAAATGTGAAAGAGCTATCAACCACGCTGTTTGACGGGAACTAGATCGAGATCTACCCACTTTCTTTAAGGGGTGGTTGGCTATCGGCGCCATCTTTTGTCATAATTTGCAACTATTTTGATTTAAAAAAAAATTTCTTTGATAAATGTAAAATTTATTTTTAAAATATCGTAAGCGCCGCAACCGGCATAAACGCCGCAATTAAAATTTTAAAACTTTTAAACTCGTAAACGCCGCGGCGTTTCTTCCATAAATTACGGTAATCATCTAAAATTGTTTAAATGATCCTTTTTCTTTTCTTTCTTTTTTTTTTTTTTTTTTTTTTTTTTTTTTTTTTTTTNTTTTTTTTTTTTTTTGTGTAGAAGGTTTTTAAAAGTTGAAGGAGTGTTGCCTTTTCTATCTTACTTACATAATAAAAAAGAAAGTTTTTTTTTTCAAATTCAATGCTAAATATAAGTTTTAAAAAATAAGCTTTTTAAAATGATAATTTTTTTTTATTGTAACAAGCACAAGGACCTCTAAATCCCCAGGGGGGTGTAAAGCATATTCCTTGCTTCCCACACTTTTATGACCCTGCTGCCATTAATAAGTGCTTGTAATAATATAAGTTTACAAAAGAATCTTGAAAAACAAAGTGCATAAACTATTATTAAAATAATCAACAAAAAAAACAACTTTTTTTTATGATAGCAATTATGTTATCGAGAATGTAAGTGAGAAAAATTTAATTTTCTACCTCTTGGGATTATATAATTTAATTTTCTTTAAATATAAACTTTTATAATGTATGACCAAAACTAATAGAAAATTTAAAAATGATCAAAAAATTTTTTATCAAATGACATGAAAGTATGTGTATGTACTTCGTTTACATCAAACAGCTAATAAAGTGTAAAAAGTGAAAATAATAAAAAAGGAATGTGTAGTAACTAATATTTTTAACCTTAACTCTAATAGTTTTTGATAAATTGAGTTACGCGGTAAAAAATAAAATAAAGTTCAACTTTGATGTCTATATCAAAGCTGAGTGTATTCATCTGATCAGAAATAGAATTAAAAGTTATTGAAATGTGCAATTTTTTAGTTTCTGCATTAAGAGAAAGTAAAGCTTAAGCAGCAAAAATATTCCGCAACAGTGCGAAAGATAACAGTAATTTGTTTTCAGTATGTGATAATTTGTTATTTTAACCACCTAAGTGGTTATATAGTGGTTTGAAATCCAATTTTTTCTTTAATAAAAGTGAACTCATAAAAATTAGTTGCAATACAATACATATTTTTTTGCCTTTCCAAAAGATTACAAAAATTTATTTTTACCTAAGCAATCACTTTCTGAAGGTATATAAATCAAGAAACGAGTCTTAAAATATTTAAGTTATGAGCTAAGGATATATTATTGAAGTTATTTTTGAAAAAGTATGTAAAAGGTTGTCCACTGTATTATATTATTATTTTTTATAGCTATCTTTATCAAAAGTGGGTGATTATAAGATATCCACTTGTGCTCTACTTTGTGAACATGCTGAGAAAATAATGGCTGCCAAGTCACTACGCTTATTTTTGACTGAGTAAGTTTTATTCCAAGAATGCTATTTATTTAAAAAAAAAATTCATTTCATTTAAATAAAAAATAAGGAGTAACACTTCTTTGATCTTATGGCTCTAATCAATCTAAAATAATAACTTTGAATATTACGGCCTTTCATTATATAGAATTTTGTATTATATAAATCAGTGGTTTCCAAATATAAATCAGCCTGCCGATATCTGCTATTAGGGGTATTGCAGAAAATGGGAAGGAAAGCGGTTTTTCTTCCCACGATTTCCTATATTTCTTTTTAGAACCAGTAATGTTTCTTAAAGTCTAAAATTAATTTTTTGTCCAATTATTTATTAATATTTCAGTTATTTTTATGAAATGATTTAATAAAAATATTTTATTTCAAAATTCACTTGCTTTATTCCCCATAAAATGGTACTTCTTGGCTTTTCATATTATTTTTTTTTAATTAACCATTTGTACTAAGATGCTTCGTAATTCTAGATGGTTTGCTGATTTCATTAATTTTCAAAATTGAATATTATTTATCTTTGCATGCAATGCAAGTATTTTTTTTTTTTTTTCAAGAAGTGAAAACCATTATGATCAAACCATGCTACTCTAATAATAGAGAAAATGAATGAAGCAATAAATATAGCAACTTTCATATTTCTTAAACAAAACCAAATTAATTAACTTCATCAACCAACAAAGTGTTTATTTGTTACTTACACAAAATGATCAATTCTATATCATGCAGTAAAAGATTGATTTCTATTCTGAATGCCAACGCTATGTATGCCCATGACCGCATATTATTACAACTGAAAGATGGAGAAAAAAATTGTAAAACTACTTCTGTTGACTGCATTCAGATTAACTTTTATATGAATGCGGAAAGTATGCATCCTTCTAAACTTCATTAATTTTTAATCATTTTGATAGGTAGCTATTTTCCTACTTATGATTATGACTTTATTTGTGAGACACTCTTGCTGATTCATTAAATCAGGGGTGATTGTATTCCGGGTGCCCTCCTCCGTCATTCCAGGTTTATTCATATCATCCTTCTAGGTCAAAAAACTGAGAGCAGGGCATGTGATTTGTCTGTGAATTTTGCGTTTCTCGATTCCATTGATTTAGACTTCTGCAAATCGAAACTTATAATCTGACGAAATTTTCACTGTGATCTTAAATTTAAAGTAAGAGCCAAAACTTAGAGTAGGAATTACGAGTTCCGGAATCTAAAATTTAAATTTTGAAACTTTCGCTAAATCTCGTTAACTGGACGTTTACATGTTACAAAACATTTTTTGGGTTTCTCAGTTTTTTTTTTTTTTTTTTTAATATTTGAAACAACATAGAAATCCTCTAATATCGCGATTCATATTCACATGATTTTAATATCAAAAATCGATTTTGGGATTTACCTGATTTTAAAGTTACACATTGTAAATCATATTCTCGTTATTTAAAAATCAAATATCGGAATTTGTATTTTAGTGTTCTTAAAGTTCAGTATCGCAATTCATATTCACGCAATTTCAAAAACCAATATCGTTATTCTTGTAAGAAAATTAGTTACCATAAAGTTGCTATATTCTTCATTTGTAGGTAATTTTATTATAAATCTTAGTTGAAGAAATTATATTAAACATTTCAAGCATAGTATACTCTCGATAACTCAACCTTGTTGTGTCAAAAGTATTTTTTTCTACTTTTTAGAACACATTTAGTTCTTTTATTGTCCCTTGAACTTTAAGATATCGAGAGTTTACTGTATATGAATTGATATTGACTTTTTATTTATAAAATTATCATTGTTTTTGTTTTTTTTTTCATTTCGTGACACAATTAATTACCTCTTTAAAATATAAAGAAAAATACTAATGAAAGGCTTTGTTTGCATAAGTGTGAGTAACACTGGGAAGCTATTTTCTCTTGTGTGTTATGCGTTTGTTCAATTGATCCTTTTACATAGAGTTTATTTGTAGTTATGAACACAAAATTTATAAATTTATATATTTTATTTATATAAAGACATAAGTTTCAATTTAGGGCAATTTCTTTACAGCAAATAAAATTTTGAAAATCTTATGCACTTTCCCACTAAGACTAGAAAAAAGTGGCCCCATAAAGGATTAAAGAGGTTTGGATGATCAAAGTTCTACTGTAACTGATTTATTGGCTTATAATTTTTGATTATTACAGGGATGTGATTCTTCCGCAGATTAGCAAATTTCCGCTTTTATTCTTCAGATTTTTCCCGCTAATTTCTGCTGAATTTTTTTTTTTTTCTTGCACAAGTTAAAATATTTTATGAGGAATTAAATTTTCCGCGAAGCAAAAGTATTAAAGTCCTCATTCCTCCCTCAAACATTGATTTTCGTATTTACCTGATTTAAAAGTTAAACGTTGCGATTTTTAATCAGGCGATTTAAATGTCGTACATTGCGATTCTTATTTACGAGATTTAAAAATCCAATATCGCGATTTGTAATTAAGCGCTTTTAAAACCCTATGTAGCAATTCGTATTCACGCTAGCTTAAAATCCAATTTCGTGATTCTTTTTTGCTGTTGCAATATCAAACATCGATTTTCCTATTTATACGTGCCTTAAAAATGAGTGGGATTCGTATTCGCGCTATTTAAAAATTACGCATCGGGATTCGTATTTACGCGATCTACAAATTACGCATCATTACTTGTATTTTCGCATTTTTTAAATTCGATATAGAGTTTTATATTCACGTGATTTAAGAGCCTCATTTCGGGATTCCTATTCTCTTAATTTAAAATCATGCATGTGATTCACATTTATATATTCATGCAATTTTAAAATTAATCATCGGGATTTATAATCACATGGATTACAAGTTTGAAAATTGCGCTTTTTTGTCAAATTTTTGTATGTGTGTGTGTATATATATATATATATATACAGTGCCCGTCGTTTATTAAAATCACTTTCGTTTTATGCTCTTTTGATTTTATTAAGAGGCGATTCAACATTTGAAAAATAAAAACAAATTTTACGATATATTCTAAATGCACACACTTTAAAAGCTGAAATAATGACCACATTAATGCTTTATTAACTAATTTAATTACTTTAATAAAGTAAAACCCTACATAAGATTAAATTTACAAAAGTTTTGCAAAAAACCGATCAATGGTTGCTTGAGTTGCAGTATTTAAAATTAACTTTTCAACATCATTTGAGAGTTTATAGAAGTTTTTATAGTTTTCGATATTCCTCCTCTTTGTTCTAAAACTTGCCGCAATACATTAAGTGCTTTTCTGACTTCAATTGAAGATGGCACTGATGAGTTTATGTCATCTTCTGAGTCTGATTCCTCCATTTCTTGATGGGAAATAACTTTGCAATTTTTGATGTCTGTAATAATTTCAGAATCAGATTTTTCTCCTGATGTTTGCAGGTTATTGTCAATAGCTACGTAACGTGAAAAATTCTCTTCCATTTCATTTTCTTCATTGCTGATCATTTCTTCGAAACAGTTATGAGCCCCATCTCCATCTCCACTGAAGCTTCACGTTGACTACATTTAGGAAGCTTATCATAGTTTTGCGACACTTTGAATTTATCTTTAAGACTCAAAACCTTCTTTTTCGGCATGCTGATAAAATTTAACACCAAACGAACTTAAAAATGATATGTGCTCTAACTCTAACTATAATTTACTCAAACGGCTTAAATAATATGGAACATGAGCACAGACAGTTTTTGGAAATCTATTCATGTTCTCTGTTAAGATAGATAACAAAAGAAACTTCTCTCCCTTCTATGGTTCATTCAATAAAAAGTAAGATAAGAATTCGACCCCCTGTTGAGTGAGATAGGTTTCTCCAAACTTCATTCAAGTCAAGGAATTAACATTGATAAATTGATTTCTATGAACTCGCCGCTTACCANAATTTTAAAATTAATCATCGGGATTTATAATCACATGGTTTACAAGTTTCAAAATTGCGCTTTTTTGTCAAGTTTTTGTATATATATATATATATTCATTCTTGAATTTCCTCTTTTTTTACTTTCCAACTACTCTCATCCCTGTTATTAAGTTATATATATTTTTCCAGTCATAATAACGTGATTGAAATAGCTGTAAGAGCTGCTTTAGACAAAAGAGGTATTGAAGTAAAAAACCATTTAACTCCTCAAGATGTTTTCTTCAGAGAGGTAACTTTAAAACTAATTAAAATATACTTTTGAAATCTTTCTTTCAAAAATACATTATCTGTTTCATTTTTTTTTTTTTTTCATCTTCCAGGTTTCGGCATTTTATGCTATTTTTTCATCACTCATTGACTGGGAAGAAGAACAACTGAATGCTGATGAAAATATGAATAAAACTATTGGTGCCATCATGACTGTCAATAAATTAATTGTGGTAATTTTTAATTCTTGATACCATTCAGCTTCTTGAAATCCTTATTTTCCTTTTTAGTTCCAGTTATTGAGATACCGAGAGTATACTGTATTTTTTCTTCCAATAGAAGACACTTTTATTTTAGCTTTTATTTTGGATAAGAAGCATTCACTCAACGAAATTAATTCTCTCAGGGTGTGCAGCGTTTTTAAAAGTGCTTATTTTTTATTTACGTTTTTTAAAAGCCCTTAGAGGTGCTTTTTTTTCTGGGTTTGCTAAGAGTGCTTAATTTTCTTGCTTTTAGAAAGAGGTTTTTTATCTTTGCCATGTCGATTGTCGTTCGAAATTACAAAAAAAATACATGATTTTCAAAAACTTTTCCTGCAATGTTTATCAGAAACTAGTTATTTTATCAAGATTATGTAAAGTTTTTGAATTTTATTTATTTTATATTTATAAATTAAGAGCTTTAAACAATAGGGGGGAAAAAATTATTACTGCAAAGGTCCTAATTATGATTTTTTTTTTTGGAAAGTGATTAAAAGTATTTCTTGAGTACCTAAAGAGTACTTAAAAGGTGCTTAGTTTTTGTTAAAAATCTGGCTATGCACCCTGTCTCTTTTAAAATTTTGTCTCTTTACAATAGGGGATGCTAGATTCTGTGTTAGAGTATCGTAAAACCAATGCAAAGATGTATGGACTGAATGAACTCTGTTCAAATGTTGAATATTTGCCTTGGACATCAAGAGAAGGCAACTCTGGGATTCGTCAGCATCTAAAAAAGCAGGTATTAATTCTGTCTTTTTTTTTTTACTTCTTGATAAGTATTTTAGAATATATTTATTACATGGCCCAGGGTGGCATCCTATGTGAAAAGAGTTGTCTGCTACTTTTTTAAAGGAAAAAGTAATTCATGCTTTTTTCCAAGGTATTAAAAATACTTTAATGGATGTTACATACCTGACAAGTTAAGTCTTCTATCATTTAATGAAGACTCTTGTATTTTACAACTGTCTCCTGTTTACCCGTATATTCTCAAATTTCTTCGAATTTGTTGAAGAAATTTTTTTTAAAAAATGGCGAAAAATATCCGCTGGTGGCTAAAATACTTTTCTTATTCCTCAATAGATGGTGCTGTTGCCAGTACTGTTGTTGAGTGTTAATAGTTTAATTCATTATAAATAATGGTTTAAAAAAATCTTCTTTAGAGTAAGATTTAAATACATATTTTTTACTTCGCTAAATGTGAGTGCTTATATTATTTTCAATTTTGAACTTCTCTTTTTGACATACATGATGTTTTAAAACACTTTACTCGTAGCTTAAAAAATGTCGCTAATAAAACATCTGTTATTTTATTTTTCCAATGTTGGTAGGTATGAAGTTTTTGATTGGCTGATAATGGGATTTTTACACAAACAGTACATTTTTTCCATGAGCAGAAAAGATTAAAAGAATAAAGTTAAAATACCAACATAGTTTTTCTCTGAAATAATATTTTTAAAAGTGCATTTAGTTAGATTACACAGAGCAAACATAAAAATGCATAGCTTGAATGAGTATGCATTTTTATAATTATTAAATAGTATGTACTTTATGTACCTTTTCATTTTGTAGTTTGTTTGTTTTTTTAACTTCATCAACTATATTACAGCTCTTGAAGTTAGACGTTTTAGGTGCACATTGGTTTGTCTTGAAATATGTTTTTTATTATTTTCAATATAGAAACTCAAAATTTTGGACTCTCCCCATCACTATGCATGCCTTGTCTTGCTACATCGTTGTAGTTATATAAAACTGGTGCTATTGTGTTTAGTAGCATATAAACAGGGTTTTTAAAATTTTGATAAAATTCCTGAAGATTACTTTTTTGCAGAGTTAAAAAAGACTAGGCAAAATATTAATAAAAAAAAACAATGGTCTCTCACTCATGTTCAATTCAGACTTTTAGAAACATCTTCTTCCTGCAGTGAACTGATCGTAAAGTCACGGTTCCCAGTAGAATACCTAAGTCAAGCATCACTGACTGTGGTCAGTAAGTGGGTGGGTGACCACTTTGATCAGCCTGCATAGGAACCGAGGTGGGCGATATCAGTTCTCATTAAACTGTTCTACTGTAAAGTGCTCAACTTAGTGTACAGGTTGTCAGGCTACCAAAGCACAAGAGCCATTCCGTCTGCAGAGCATCAAAATTAGGATGGCATGTCTTTGAATCATCCTCAAGGATGCTTCCTAGACAGTCTCCAATAACGCATTGTGCAGCTCTAGTGTGACGTAAATAAAAGTACCTAACTAGTATTGTCTTCCTGTTCCTCCCATAATGCCAATCAATATAACTTAATACATCGGTTAACTATTCAACTTTGATATGTGTTAGTGGACTTGGTTTATATGCATCATGGCATTGGTGATCTATCTGTGTCATGGTTTGTATGTGTCAAGTTTGATTTGTGTCATGGTGACCACCCTGTTATATTTTACACCAGAATTTTAATATGCAGTATACTTTCAATATTTCAAAGTTGAAGAGGATGCTAGAAAAAATTTCGAGATAGCGAGATTTCAAGATAACAAGTTCAGAACTAAATAGTATGTTTTAAAAAGTAGAAAAATATATTCTAAAATATTACTCTAAAAGGTAGAGTCATGAAATAGAAGAATATTTTATATGTATGTAATGATGATAGTTGACCATAACTTAAATAAAACAGTGATAATCTTGTTTTTAAAAGTAAAGCAAAAATAATTATTCATTAAATAGAAAAGAATTGGTTCATAATGAACTTACATTGGGATTTTTGCGAAAAAATTCATTTTCTGTTTCGAAAAAAAATTGGACATAGCAAGGTTTTAAGAAGAAGCCCTTCAACATAGAAATTCAAATTAACATTAGGTGGATTTGTAAGGCCAATTTTTATTTATTCATTTATTTATATTTTGTTGATATAACAAAGTTTCTCGCAGGAATTCTAGATGTCGAGAGTATACTGTATTTGCTATGGGGTTTTAATAACATGCAAGAAAAAAAATTTCATTCTTATATTAAGTTTTTTGTTTGTTTGTTTAGCCACATTATTTTTTATTTTTCAGTTAGAATTGAATGTGAACTACTCTTTTAAAATAACAGACAATATACAGATTCAGGGAGTTCTCTTTCAACAATATATGGACATTTTGGATTTCTATTTAAGCAGTTTCAAAATTCAGTTGGAATCTCTGAAGGGAGAGAAGAAGTCACTCCTTTCAAAGGAATTTGAACTGATTAGATCGCATTTCTTGAACCCTCTATGTAAGTACTCCAAATCTGTCGTAAAAGAGATGTCTAAAAAAAATTTTACTTGTGATGTTTTGATTTCATTAAAAATCTTTATTATTTCTTACACTTTCTTTTCTGCCAATACATGAATTCGTTAACTTTCCTTGGCGAAAAAGTATGCTAATGTATGCATGTACACTCGCATTTTTGATTTCTTGGTGGACGGAAATGTCCTGTGGGGTTTAACCTGCATCCACACCCTTTGAGCCATTTTTTAAATTTATTATTTTATTAATTCATATGTACATTAAAAATGATAAACATACCTGCCAAGTCTCTTGTTTTTTAACGAAGACTCTATTTTACGACTATCTCCTGTTAACAGTACATTCTTAAATTTCTTCTTATTTGTAGAAGAAATTTTTTAAAGGAATAAATTTTTTCTTTTATTCCTCAAAAGATGGTGTGATTGCCAGTACTACAGTATGTTGAATATTTATAGTTTAAGTAATTATGAATAATGGTTTAAAAAAGTCTTCTTTTGATTTAGATTTATATACATATTTTTTACTTTGCTAAATGTAAGTGCTTATATTATTTCCAATTTTGACTTACATGGTTGTGCATGATATATCAAAACTTTTCTCGATGCCTAAAAAATGTTGCTAAAAAAATCTTCGTTATTTTATTTCTCCATTGTTGGCAGGTATGGATAAATCTTTTTTTCTTTAAAGCTCCATCTACTTCAAAAATAAAACATTTTTATTATTTATCGTAATTTGAATCTTTATTAATCATAAGTTATGGTTTTTGATAAATAATTGCTTGCCTTTCATCACTGCAAATTAAAATATGGACAATTAGAAATATATCAATCGACAAACCTTTTTTCGTAATAACTCTCTTTTTTCTGTTTAACAAAAACTATTTTAGCTTTAGAAATACAATTTTTTTTACAGTCTATTCTTACAGCTAAATTTTTGCAGCACCTTTTCTTCCTTTCTTTTTTTCCACCTGCCTAATTCATTTAAACAAAATTTCTGATAATCAGAATAATTAATTTTGATAACCAATTCTCACATCTAAAAATGTACAACATGTTTCATTTTTTTTTAAAAAAAAGGTTTACAAGTAAACTGAAAATTACAAATTTTGACAGTATAAAATCCTAGTTTGTTTAACTGTTTTTCAAAATTTACACAGCTCTATGTCAATGATTTTTAAGTTTGTGTGATTCATCCCACAAAATCATAATTATTGTTTTCAATTAAAAATGAATTATATTTTTAGTGTCAGTAAATCAGTATGAGCGTGCTGCATCGCTTGCTGAGAAGTATTTAGACTTTGACGTTCTCATACAGATCTGTGAAATAACTGAAAATGTTGATAGACTTCAAAGATACATGCACCAATTCAGTACACAGGTCAGATATTTTTTTCTTCTTTCAGCTAGATTTTCTTATTTATTATGTTTCTGTTTTTTTAGTATCATAAAAACTATTTTACTAATTTGTTTTGTTGAAATTGTATAAAATTAAACTAGATACAATATATTTTGCAATCTTTACAACTTTATATTTCGTTCATCAGAAGTTGGCACTTGGCTCCACCTCCTCGGACGAAAGTTCATTTTAGCGTAGCAGGAGTAAGAGGAAAAACATTCTTGAAATTGAGACAACCCTTAATGCGTGCCAAATACAAACAATGAATTCTTTTTCAGTCACTTACTTTGCTTTATCATCTGCTATTATACCTTCTGTCACTCTAGCTAATTAAATGAATTTTAAATTTAAAAATTGCTGTTCTCCCAGCAAAATGTCTCAAAAAAGACAAACTGTTCACTCAAAAGAGAGAATTATCATCAAATTTATGAAATATTTGATGTTTAAAATAATGCAATAATAAAGAAATATTTTTGTCATATGATCGACAAATAGCAACCTTGTTCAGCATTGCTTACATCCTTCTCCCAAAAAAGTAGTATTGTTGGATACAACGAGATGAAGGCAGAGCCAAGTGCCAACTCCTGGTAAACGAACTATACTCTGTAAAATAATTTTTTTTTCATAAACTTTTTTTTTTTTTTACTTTTATTAATGATAATTTTGAATGAAACAATAATGAAAGGTTTTCATTTTCCTTGTTATTATTTTAATTAGTTTTTTTTTTAATTCTTTTATCCCATTTTAAATGTATTTTAGCCATAGAGCTAGCTGAAATGTAGGTGGAATGAATGTTGTGGATTTTTTTTTATGCTATGTGACCGAAGGATGGTTTTAGCTTTTGAAAGTATGAAACAAATCTACTAGAAGAGAAAACTTCTCTTAACTGTTCTGTCCTTCTTTCTCCGCCAATCGGCCCAAGAGACGGATCGCGTAACAGGTGGGAATTTGATGGTAAGAACATAAAAAAGATGGGAGAAATAAGACAGTAAACTTGCTTTACTTACTATTACTGCTCTATGGTCTTAGCATTTAACAAGTTAATTACAGAAACTGCATTACAATAAAACTAATTGGAGAGTTAAGAATATCTAAAAGACACTGTCAAATGACGACCTTACTACTGTACCTTCCTCTGTGTGACCTACTATATTTTTCCGTAGTGCTATTTCTCCCAGTCGAAACTACAGTTTCTTATCAAAAGTATATGGAAAATCTTTTGGTTATAAGTTTCATTAAAAACTAAATTTTTTTAACTAACTTTAGTATTGTAGCATTGCCAGAAAGAAAAAAATGTTTTGACTAATAAAATTTGTGTTAGCTTGTTAATAATCATATGAATTTAATTCCAATCAAGAATTTTTCTATTTTAGAAATTTTGTTGCATTTTAATGGAGTTCAAAGTTATATTTTTTTTATACGCATATTATACTTTTTTTAACTTCAAGTTTTCAGTTGTAAAATAAGTTTAAAACCATGTTCATTGAATATTTTACAGTTGCAAGAATATTTTTTTAAAGTATAAAACATGTTTTTACATATTGATAATTTTTTGAAAATTTGCATTGGAGTTTGCAAAATATTAAAATTTTTTTTCTTCTAATAAACTTATTGAAACGCAACAATAATTTTAAAAAACTATAATAAAAACCATTATTTTTCATAAATCAAGGTGTACAGTTGAAAATTGTGTCTAATCTTGAATTTTCATAATTACTTGTAAATGTTCATAATTTAAATTTTTTGACCAATTTTATTCGTTTTTATTTAAAAAAAATCTAAATACTTTTTTTGTCACAATATAAGCAAATTATATTTTTTGATATTGAGTAATATATTTAAATATTATAGTGTGCTTTAAGCATTTATTTATTAAATACTCTTATTGATCTATTTTACCTTATTGTTACATATTATTTTACTTTTAAATATAAACTTTCTTTACTATTTTATTTTCAGAAATTTACTGAATTTGTTTTCAAGTGGTACTTAGACAAAGGTAAGTTTTGTTTATTATACTAAATCTTGTTGAGTAACCAAAAAAAAAGTTTTAAAATACAGGGTAAAAAATTTTTGTAGAGTGTGTGAGCTACTTATTTCTAGCCGATATCCATTTATAAAATGCATCTCCCAAATTATCATGCATCATTCAATTATAGCTCCAAATTATATCATCTGCTTAAATCGATTCACACTTATGACTGCTCTTTCATTTGATATTTTGGTTCGTTGTTTCATAAAATAGAAATTTAATTGGTTAGGTCACAATGTATATACAGATCATTGTTTTATATAATATAGGTATTAGTAACTGGCAGAACCATGTTTATTTTCTGAATAACTAAAGTCATTGATATTTTTTTTAAATTAAAAAAAAAATGTTCTTTGCTGTAAACTTATCATAAAAACACACAATGGATCACTGAAGTTAAGCATCATGGCAATGGTCGGTGAGCAGGTGGGTGACCCCTTTGATCAGCCTGAGAAGGGACCGAGGTTGCGCAGCATGTCTTCATTAAACTGTTATTCTGTAATGTGCTTTACCAAAGTGTGGGTCTCCTCTGCATAGATTCAAAATTGTGATCATATGTTTTTGGATCATCTTCAAGGATGTTTAATAAACTAGTCTTAAATTTATAGATTGATTGAAATTATTTCCTAAATAATGGGCCATTGTGAAGCTATAGTGCAGCATAAATAAAGTACTAGTACTTGTACTACTCATAGAGAGTTGAAAGATTGAGTGTATATAATTTTGATTTAAATTATAGATTGTTTTAATGTATTAAAATGATATCAATAAGGCTTACATTTCATAGTTATATATCTGCTTTTTAATGTGATGTGCGTTGATTACAGGAAAGAAAGGTAAAATTTTCAACCAGCATTTGGGTCAAAGAGACGAACTGGGCAATTTTCTTCAAGATCATGATGGCTTGAAGTGGATTTATTATATTCAGGAAGAAAAATACAGTGAAGCTCATTCCACTCTGAAACAGTTGGCACTGAATGAGACGCAATTTCTGAACAAGAAGAAAGTATGGTTTTTGCAGAATGTCTTTTTTATTATTTTTTTTTGTTTAAACTATGGTTATATTACAGGGTGCATAGCATTTTTAAAAAGTGCTTAAGGGTGCTTATTTTCGATTGTCATTTTTTTATCTTTGTGCCAAATTATTAAATGTTTTTAGGATTTTAATAGTTTAGCTATAGCTTAGAAGAGTAAGAGCTTGAAGTATTGAATTCCTAGCTATTGAGCAAATTTTGCTTACTAAAGCCTTTGCTTTAACTTGGTTTTTCTCTGATAGTCACATTCGATTCTTAAAGTAAAATCGATGTCGTTCCTTTTTTTGTATTGAAATGAACTTGATTGCTAAATTGATTGCGTTGCATTTTGAAAAATTGCGTAAAGGTGCTTATTTTTGATTTACATTTTTTAAAAGCTTTTAAAGATGCTTCTTTCTATTCGGGGCTTGTTAAGAATGCTTACTATCTTTTAAAAGGCGATTTTTTTTTCTTCTTTTGTTGTGTCGATTGTCGTTTTAAATTACAAAAAATGTGCGATTTTCACCATTTTCTCTGCAGTATTTATCAAAAACTAGTTATTTTATCATGATTATGAAAAATGCTTAATTTTCTATCTTTTAAAAGGCGATTTTTTTTTTTCTTTTGTCGTGTCAAATTACAAAAAATGAGCGATTTTCTCTGCAGTATTTATCAAAAACTAGTTATTTTATCATGATTATGTAAAGTTTTTGAAAATGTTTTTGAATTTTATTGATTTTATGTTTATAAATTAATAATTTTAAACAATAGTAAAATAATTGTTATTCCTGTGCAGATTCTAATTCTGATTTTTTTTAAAAAGTTATTAAAAATATTTTTTGAGTGCCTAATTAAAAAGGTGCTTATTTTTTGTTGAAAACTCTGGCTACGCTCCCTGCAAACAGTATAAACTGATGATCTAAAAAGAAAAAATCAAAAAGTGAAATTCATTTTCATTTTTGAAATTAACAAAATAAAGGCTTACTTTATTTTGTTAATTTCAAAAATGAAAATGAATTTCACTTTTAAAAATATTAATTTTTTTCAGACACTTCTTAGCCTGAGTAAACTGTGTGCAATGGTGAGTGATGCACCCTCGCAGACTAAAAGCATGCAGATTGAAGGTAACACTTTTGACCGAATTCCTCTTTATTATTTATCTTAATTCTCCATTTCATTTTATAAATTGATTGAAAGCTGTGATTAACGTCATTATTTCTTACAGCTGTAAATCTTGAGCTACATCTCATTACTCATCAAGAAACATTGCCAGCATCTGTTGTTGAGGTGATTTTTTCCTTCTTTAATTTCATTTTGTTTTTAAGAATTTTAATGGCTATCGATTTCTGGTTACTATCAATTTCTGAGTAGTAATAATTAGTTTTAGAAAAAGTTGCTTTTTTTTGGAAATTAGGGTATTTACTGTTCTTTCATGCTTCTTTGTCTTGTGCAAATTAAGTTTGTTACGGGTTTAGAATATTTAAAATTGTGTCTTTTTTTTTTTTTTTTGAAGTAGAGTATTTGTTGTAATGTATGTTGGAAGGGTTATTAATAAAATTAGTTGTAATCGATAGTAATTACAAGTATTTGTTTAACAAGACACGTAAAAAGTTAAAAGAGATTTTTTTTTACTTATGGTGTAGAATTGTAACGAAATATTTCTGATAGACTTTATTCTTTTTTTTGTCACTTTTTTTCTTGTATGGTAATATAGATAGTAGCATTTTCTTTTATCATAACTTTTTTTTTATAAAAATACAGTAATGTGAAAAAGCTAAATTGAAGTTTTTAGCGTTAACTTTTTCATTTAGAAACAAATAACTATTGTTTCTTTCTATTTTTTTTCCATTCTTAAAAATCATTTAATTTATTGATGTATTTTATGGCGCAGCAGTTTTTTAAGTGTCTCTCTATCAGACTTTATTCATTTTTCTTAACAATTTGGTAATTGGAAATTATTATTTTTTTTCTGTTTCATTTTTTACTGTGACTAAAAAATTATTTGACACATATTGTCAGTCCCTTTAACAAATGTATTTGAGTGGACTGCTCGTAAAGACACAGTGCCCAGTAGAACACAGAAGTCAAGCATCACTTGTTGTGGTCAATAAGAGGGTAAGTGACCTCTGTGAGAAATCAGACTGCATAGGGATCTAGGGTGCTCGGTATCAGTCCTAGTTAAAATGTTCTGCCATAAAGTGCTTGACTTCGAGCGCAGGTCCTTGGGCTACCAGAGCAGGGTATTCTCTGCAGAGGATCAAAATTGCAATGGTTTGTCTTCGAATCATCCTCGACAATGTTTCCCAGACCGTCACCAATAGCCCGTTGTGCAGCTCTAGTGCGACGTAAATAAAATACCTACCTCTTTAGCAAATATTGCAAGGTCATCAAACTCAAAAATAGTTTTTTTTTTTTTCTTTTTTTTTTTTTTTTTTTTTTTTTTTTTTTTTTTTTTTTTTTTTTTTTTTTTTTTT